GCGGAAGGAGAAGATGGAGGTGTTTCTAAAAGACATAACTGAAGTCTGGCGTACCTCTTTCTGTGGTGTGAGTCCTTTGAAAATCTGGTGGAGGGAATGAATGAAATGTCTGCTCTCAGAGAAATGAAAATATGTAAAGTTACATTTTGCATATCATTTCAGGTGGTGATGTAGCTTCCCAAAGCCCTTTCATGACCTCAGGTTGGAGACCTCCAATCTAGAAGTTTTTGTTTGTTCACTCACTTAGTTTATTTGTTTTATTTTTAATAGGGGACACTGGGTGAGGAAAGGAGCCAATGGAAAGTGAGAGATTGGAAAGTACAAGAAAAAGGAGAAATTTACATTGACACGAACTTCCAAATGAGGTTGCTATTTTGATACACATTTAAATCAATATAGTAGATCTTATTAATAAATTGCCTATCAGAGAACATTTTTGTGTGGTCCAGTGCGAAGTTGAGAAATAAAAACTAAAATAGTGTGAGGGCCTTATGGCTGTGTGGTTTCACATCTGCATGTGGGAAGGTTAGAATTCTAAGAATACACACTTTCAAGAAGATACTGTTGGTTTTAACATTGTCTTTCAACTTTTTGCAGAAGTTTCTCAATGGAATCTTTCTCTGCTGAGACCAATTCAACTGACTTACCCTCACAGCCTTGGGATGAACCCCATGTGGTTGTCTCCATGGTCCTTCTCAGTCTCACTTTTTTATTGGGATTGCCAGGCAATGGGCTGGTATTGTGGGTGGCTGGCCTGAAGATGCAGCGGACGGTGAACACAGTTTGGTTCCTCCATCTCACCCTGGCAGACTTTCTCTGCTGTCTCTCCTTGCCCTTCTCTCTGGCTCATCTGGCTCTCCAGGGACACTGGCCCTACGGCTGGTTCCTGTGCAAGCTCATCCCCTCCATCATCATCCTCAACATGTTTGCCAGCGTCTTCCTCCTTACTGCCATTAGCCTGGACCGTTGTCTTTTGGTACTCAAGCCAATCTGGTGCCAGAATCATCGCAGCGTGCGAACAGCTTTCAATATCTGTGGATTTATCTGGCTGGTGGCTTTTGTAATGTGTATTCCTGTGTTCGTGTACCGGGAAACACTCACTGTAGACAACCAAAATATATGTGGCTACAGTTTCAATCTCCCCAGCCCATTAGATTATCCAGAAGACCCTTTTTATCCAGATCTACTGGAAAACAGGTCTCTTGACGACTCCATTGTTCAGCAGCCTGGAGAAATGGACGATAGGTTAGATCCTTCCTCTTTCCAAACAAATGATCATCCTTGGACAGCCACCACTGTCCTCCAATCTCAAACATTTCAAAGACCTTCTGGAGATCCACTCCCTGTGGATTCTGCTACATTAACTAGTCAACATTTGTATTATAATGTATATAAACCAGCTGATGTGGGCTCACCTACAATCTCCCATGGGTTTCCCATTGAAGGTCACAGAACTAACCCACCGGATAACTCTGACGCTCTTCTCTCTACTGATTCAGACCTTTTCCCTAGTGCTTCTAACAATTCTTTATACGAGTCTAAGTTAGCACAAGATTTCCAGGATTACAATTTCAGCCAACTGACATATAACAATCATGTGTCAAAACCCATGGTGGCGATAACCATCACTAGGCTAGTGGTGGGTTTCCTGCTGCCTTTTATTTTCATGGTGACCTGTTACAGTCTCATTGTCTTCCGAATGCAACAGGGTCGCTTCGCCAAGTCTCGGAACAAAACCTTTCGAGTGGCCGTGGTGGTGGTGGCTGTCTTTCTTGTCTGCTGGGCTCCTTACCACATTGTTGGAGTCCTGTCATTGTTTATTGACCAAGAAACTCCCTTTGGGGAAGCTCTGATGTCCTGGGACCATGTGTCCATTGCTCTAGCATCTGCCAATAGTTGCTTCAATCCCTTCCTTTACGCCCTCTTGGGGAAAGATTTTAGGAAGAAAGCAAGGCAGTCCATTCAGGGCATTCTGGAGGCAGCCTTCAATGAGGAGGAGCTCACGCACTCTACCAGCTGTCCTGCAAACAAAGAGTTTTCGGAAAAAAACAGTATCAGTACAACTGTGTGAAAATATGGAGCAGGCAACCTTAGCAGATTTCTTAGGTTCCACTCAATGCATGTTTCCAAAAGGATGAAGAATATGGTGAGCAGAGGACTTCAGAACCCACCAACGAATCAATCCAGTGGTTCTCAAGGTGTGGTCACAGGCTACTGACATCAGCATCACCTGGAAACTTGTTAGATATGCAAATTCTCAAGTCCCATCCCAGTCTTGCTGAATCCAAATCTCTGGGAGGTGGGGCCCAGCAAGTGTTTTAACAAGCCCTCTTGTTTCTGATTAATGCCAAATTTGAGAGCCATTGTAAAAAGCTAGTCTATTTCTATCACAAACTAAGCCACGTGAGATAGATGAGAATCTAGTCTGTTTTCAAATGTTTCCATTATATAATTTTTTCTTGTCCTGGGTGAAAGATGATCATTTTTTTCTACAGTTTTGTTGTTGTGTTGCTGTTGATGGTTTTAAATGAAAAGAAGGTGAAAAAGAAAAAAGCCTATGAAAACAGGGAGCTATGTCACAGAGTCTGGAGCTAAGGACAATGCCTGATGCCTGCCACTGGAAACCCCCATGGGTACAGGACGCAGGAATTCCAGGTTTCCACTATCACAACTAAATAAGCATCTATTGTATAAAAACGGTCTACTAATACATCTAAAAACCTACTCATGAAATGTTATGTACGCTGTGGTTGGAAGAGCTGTTTATCAGCCTACTGACAGAGCTATCTATCTCCATTCCTTTTCTTATGCTTCTTAATTCCCTTATTCCTCCCCTGCTCCAAATCTTCCACATCTTCCAAATCTTTCACAAGATTCTAGTTATTCCCTTCCTCTTGCTTCAAATCAACACTTTCCAAGAGCCCCATTGTCCATGAAAAGAGAAAGAAGGTGGAGGATAGAGCAGCAACTCTTCAACTCTCTGCAAGATGAATGAGTACCCTCCCAGGCACTGTGTCACATTTTTAAAAACATGACTGCAGGTATCTTTTTTTCTTTTTTTTTTTTTTTGAGACAGAGTCTCACTCTGTTGCCCAGGCTAGAGTGCCGTGGCGTCGGCCTAGCTCACAGCAACCTCAAACTCCTGGGCTCAAGCAATCCTCCTGCCTCAGCCTCCCGGAGAGCTGGGACTACAGGCATGCACTTTTCTATTTTTAGTTGTTTGGCTAATTTCTACTTATAGTACAGATGTGGTCTCACTCTCGCTCAGGCTGGTCTCGAACTCCTAAGCTCAAGCAATCCTCCCGCCTCGGCCTCTCAGAGTGCTAGGATTACAGGCGTGAGCCACTGTGCCCAGCCAACTGCAGGTATCTTTTATGCCAAAATTTCCAGATATATCTTTTGGGATTTTAAAAATTAAACATTATCTTTACCAAAGTAATACATGTACATCATTTTAGAAGAATCCAAGGCTTGTAAGGAAATATAAAAGGGCTCCCACCCTCACTCTGATGTCCCAAAGATAATCCTTGCAACAATTTTAGATGGTTTTTCTGATATTTACCATGATGAGTCTAAATCATGTGCTCATGCTATTTTTTGTAGACATGATAAAATGACTTCCTGTTTTAAAAGATTTTTATCCAAACATCTCCATATTTTTAAATTGTTCATCTAGCACCTCAAGAACCATATTTTAATTTGTTATGACTATATATTTTTCTTCTACTTTGTCTACATATTCCAACCATTTTTATAGCTTTCCTTCTGTCCTTCATTCATTTAAAAATAATTATGCAACTCCCCACCACCTTCTCATTTTTCTGTGTATAAACTTTTATGTGTTAAACTCTGAAATTTCACACACAACATAGCCTCATCTAAGCTAAATACAATGATTTCATCTAAGAAATAGAAAATGGAATGTTTTAGACTCGCAAGAAATTATTATTTGTTCAATGGTTGAGGTAAGAGTCTGGACTGAAAATGTGTTACAAAGTACTGTGCAGAAAAATTTTAAATCACTAGATTCTTTCAGTTGTGAGGTAATAGTGTCTGATACATGGTTTTCAGTGCTACCTTTCCAATTTAACTTGCTTATATATTTGATGTGAATAAATGCTTTTTCTTTCCATGGTTCCTTGCAAGGCTCAGAGATCCATTGTTTGACACTCATTAATTATTTGACATTCAGAATATATCATAATTTGTAAATATGCAGCAAATAAAGCTCATGGTAAGTGACTGTAGACTTGCTGTAATAGCAAGCAGCCAGGCTTCTCGAACACCAACACATCCCGCAAGACCCTGGGTATAAGTCCTAAACTGCTAGGGCTGGTATATAGACTATTAGGGCAAGTAATCTTGGCATAGTTACAAAGATTTAGTATACAATCAATAAATGGAATGTCTGGACTCCTTTTAAGAGTTCCATTAACTTTTACTATTGTTTTTTTTTTTTTTAAAGAGATGGGGTCTCACTCTGTTGCCCAGGCTGCAGTGCAATGGTATCATCATAGCTCACTGCAGCTTTGAACTCCTGGGCTCAAGGAATCTTCCTGCCTCAGACTCCTGAATAGCTGGGACTACAGGCACATGCCACCACACCTGGATAATTTTTTTTCTTTTTTTTTTTTTTGAGA